CGTCCGAGGATTCGAGGCCAAGTATGGCCGCGACTACACGAAAACTACGTCACCTACGGCTCGCCTAGAGTCCATACGGATCCTCCTACACCTCATCGCGTCGCTCAACCTCGAGTGCGAGCAGGTCGACATCAAAACGGCGTACCTTTACGGCGAACTCGAACCAGACGAATACTGCTATATGGAACAACCGAAGGGGTTTGAAGAACCGAACTCGGAGGGATATGTGTGGGAGGTGCAGAAAGGATTGTACGGGATGAAACAAGGAGGGAGGGTGTGGAACAGGACCATGCACAAGGCCATGACGGAGTGGGGATACACACGACTGGCAAGTGAACATTGCATCTATTACCGATGCGTTGACGGCGTCGTTACGATCGCGGGCGTCCACGTCGACGATTTCATCATAGGCGGCACCTCCCAGAAGGAGATCGACGACTTGAAGAGCAGGATGAAGGAGCTATGGAAGATATCGGAGCTGGGGGAGGCGAAGTTTTGCGTGGGGATAGCGATTGAGAGGAATCGACGCGACCGCTCAGTGGCTCTCTCGCAGACGGCCCTGATCGACAAAATCCTTGACGAGTACGGCATGGCGGGGTGCAACCCAGTGGCGACGCCGATGGAATCAGAAACGAACCTAAGACGACGGCCGCACAACTTACTCGAACCCAACGTCCGCTCTAAGCTGATGAAGATACCATACCGATCCCTCATCGGCTCCCTAAACTACTTAGCTGTGGCGACTCGGCCTGACATCGCGTTCGCGGTCCAACACCTCAGTCAATTCCTCGACGCCTACGACTATGAACATTGGGAAGTCGCGAAGAGAGTCCTCCGGTACCTGAAGGGGACGCGTCGCATGAAACTACACCTCGGCGGTCGCCTATCGGACAACTCGGTCAGACTGATGGGATACACGGATTCAAACTACGCGGCCTGCAAGGACACCCGGCGCTCCGTCACCGGTTTCTGCACGCACCTAGGATCAGGCGCCGTCACCTGGTCCTCGAGAAAGCAGCCGATCGTAACGACCTCGACATGCGAAGCGGAGTACGTAGCCGCCAACGCCGCAGCGAAGGAAGTTCTATGGATTCGCAGCATCCTCGCTGGCCTAGGTTTTGAACAGAAAGGCCCTTCGACGTTATTCTGCGACAACCGATCTGCCATCCATATCGCGAACGACCCGTACAATTTCCAAGCTACAAAACATATCGACGTACGCTACCACTTCCTCCGTGAACAAGTCGAGTTCAACCGTATCCGCCTCCTCGACGTCTCTTCGGCCGAAAACGTCGCCGACATCTTCACTAAACCTCTACCGCGTCCCGCATTCCTTCATCTGCGACGACGACTCGGACTCCGGTGAAGGACTCTAGGCGAGCGGGGGGGCCAGGGGAGGTCAGGAGGAGTTTTCGTGCTCAGAGGTGGGAAACGTGGTCGGAAAGCTCAGGAGGAGCTTCGAGGTGGGAAACGTGGTCGGAAAGCTCAGGAGGAGCTTCGAGGTGGGAAACGTGGTCGGAAAGCTCAGGAGGAGCTTAGTGGCTGGGGGATCTCGGAGAGATACTGGGGATGGGGATTCGACTGGGGGGTTTCACCTCTGCGGTGAGGAGGAGTGTTGGAGTGCGGCATAACACCGCTTCGGTGACGGTTCGGGGACTTCGGGAGAAGAGAAGCAGAGGGGAGAAGCATGGGCAAAGGGGAAAAGAACGGGAGAAGCAGGAAAAGAAGTGAACGAAGAGAGAAGGGCAGTTTGGAATTCAGGGATATATAAGACGAGCGTCTCTCGCTATAGCGCCCCCACTCGCTTATGTTACAGCGTACTGGGGGTAAGCTCGTCTCACTAACATACCGGAGATCACACGCTTACCATGATCCCGTAGTCTAATGTATATCAGGTACAATACACTCGCTTATGTTACAGCGTACTGGGGTCTAATGT